TGCAACCTCTAAAAATTAAATAAAAAACTTAATCTTGAATTACAAAAAATTCCAACTACCACATAGCCAAAATTAAAATGTGAATTGACAAAAGGAAGCTTAAGGATATAAGAAATGTATCCGAAGGGAACATAACTAAGAACCTCAAGACTTATCTCTCTCTGTTAAATGAATGAAAGAATGTATACCAGAATACTGTCAAATGATAGTTAAATCACTCTCACCCAGGGACACCAGGAACAATTACAAATGGACTTTGAGATAAATCTTTGCTAATCTCTAAACCCAAGTAAATCTTTTAAGTCTGCAATCCATGACAGCATTGCTTCAATGCTGAATAAATTTTATTTTAAGACAAATTTGAAAGCCAAAAAAATTATAAAAACCATTTATATCAAACAACAATGACATCAAAAACATAAGGGATGAACTGAAGGAAGTTACAAGGAGGTATTACTTCTTAGGTTTAATGCTCTGTTGGGAACTGGATTTTGAAACTTGTTTCTGAAAGGTTAAATTTTAACTGTGTAAACATTTTCTTTTCTTTCTTTCTTTTTCTTTTCTTTTCTTTTTTTTTTAGTTTGTTTTCAATTTTGTACATGGACGAAGCATGAATAAAGGAAGAAAGAGCACAGACTAGCTGGTCAGTCTTAGGAGACACACAGGAGAAGCAAGGATGAGTAGTTTTTCTTTTTCACTAAATCTACATGGTAGTGATTTTTCATTTGGGCACAATTACTAATATTACATTTAAATATTTTTAAAGAAGGAAATTGTACAATGAGAATCGAGAAGCAGAAATCACAGTTTTCCCTTAGCAAGCACTGGGAAGTCCCAGGGAAAGTCCCAAGACATGCATAGCATCGGAGAAGAATACCTGTATTGCCTTAGCTTTGCCCTTGCTTAGTTCATATGACTTCACAATGTTATTTCTTAGCCACACTAAGGCATCCCAAAATGTTTGGAACCTTCTGATATCATTTCATTGAGAATACCAAAACATCCTACCTCCACCTCTGTCTGGCACAAGTTCTTGCTTTTTGTAAAACTCACTGCATTTTTTTCCCCTAAACCTCACACTACCAACTGATAAGATTTGAACAGGTTTAGATCTGGTCAACTCTGCAGATAAGCAGAGAAAGCTATAAGCTTCATTTCAGAAGGAAGCCTGCAGGTTTAAATAAAATATTAGGAGATTTTGGTTCTTTAATGGTTCGCTATTTTTTTTTTTAAAGAGAAAACAATGTTTTATCTGAAACGTAAATGCAAAGAGCACAAATTACAGACTGAAATAAAATTTTAAGCCTAAACACTGCTAAGGAATAACACATTTATCTTATTTATCTTCCTCTATATAATAGGAGATTTTGTAGATAGGTTAAAAAGTTAGCTAACATGTCACAGAGGCTCATTAAATTGTTGGGTTGTTGTTGTTGTTGTTGTTGTTGTTGTTGTTCTGGGAATTGAATTCAGGACCTAGTACTTGTCAGGCATGTTCTATCCTGCTCAGCCCTCACTGAATTATTACTGAAGAGTCAGGTAAATGAATAAAATACACACACTAAACTATATGTCTATAAGGCACAAACATAAAATTCTTATTTTGTATTAGGTATTATAAGTGGCATACAACAGAAAAGATTCATAAATAAATCAACAGTATCCTTGGATTTTACCTAATATATGGTTAAGTATATTTAACTTGAATGATATGTGAATTATATATGTGTGTGTGTGTGTGTGTGTGTGTGTGTGTGTGTGTGTAAAACATGAGTAGATAAGAAAAAGTTTTATTTTCAAATCTTTCAGTAAGACATTTGAAAGTCATAACTTTACCGCCAACAAGATGTAAAATTTTATGATGACCACATAAATTCAAAAACCTATAAATCTACATAAAAAGGATATAGTGATGTTATAATTATTGCGTGAGAAAATAATTGCCAAGACCAGATCTGTTTTGTGTACCCTCCTTAAAGTTTTTGAATGAAGGAAGTTTTACACCATATTCTCACAACTTAAAATGCAAATAAGAAAGATGAGAAATGTTTGAGCCTACTGATATAGGAAAAATATAACTCTCAACCTGCGAGATGTCAAATGTTCTAAATTCTTGTCCTCCAAATATCAAACAATGAATTTCAAGGGACAACAGAGAGTAAGAAAGGTTTAGTGAGAGATACTACCTGAGAGACAGGACAGCATCCCCAAATTGGGTTGCTATCAAGATCCTTCCTTAGGGATAATTTATACACCAGTCCCAATGTGGGTACAATGTAGGTGCTGTGGTGTGTGTCTTATTGTCCCCTGAAAGCCTCATGCAGTCATGGGCAGCTTCCGAAGTTTGTGCTTGATTCATGATTCAATGCTGGCATTATGGGTGTGAGTGTCCTGAGGCAGATACTCTGCATTGCAATGTAAAGAGGGGAGAGAGGCCAGCTAGCTGACTGAGCTGCTGCCACCCCTTTGTTCTCTTGCTCTTTGCCCCCTCCATGAATGGCTGCTCTCTAATATGTGCCGCTCTGCATTGGTATGACCTGAAACCTCCAATAACTATGAGCTGAATAAAACTTTCCTTCCCTAATTTTGAGTATCAGGTTTTTGTCCCAGAAATGAGAGAAGAATAACTGAGACAGTGGGTCTTGTATTTTTTTTTGTGTGTGTGTTGACTTCCTTGAGAGCAAAGGCCCTCTCTGACTGTAGATTAACTTGTATCCAATGTAGCTGCCTATACTACTAGTAGCAATTTAAAAAATAAATATTGTTATAAAAATTATTTCATGTATCAAATGGGCAAAAATAAAACTATAAACACAGTACTTGGAAAGAAACAGAAAGAAGTTCTATCAAACTTGAGCACTCACAATCTAAAAAAAAAAAGAGAGAAAGAGAAAGGGACAGAAAGATTTGGCATTATGCATTAAGAATCTTTTTAAAAGTCAATTACTACTGACCTATTTCTTTTCCTACAACTATGTGCATGGAGTCAATGATTATTCTAAAAGTGTATGAGTTTCTGTTTTCTTTTTTTTTTTTTTTTTAATACCAAAAACAGCAACAAACAAGAAGTAATCTAAATTATCAACCATAGGGAAGTAGAGTTCTTTCATATGATAAAACTTAGGCACTTAGTTGTAAAAGTCCTTTCATGGAATGATTCATAGCAGATAAAAGTTACCATGGTATCATGTTAAGTGTTATGACCACCCAAAAACCAAATGTATGCTATAATTTCAAACTGTACACACATAAACACATATAAATATTTAGGTAAATATTTCCAGCTTCAAAAACTTGAAAAATATAAAACAAAAATCATCATAGCATTAGGATTAAAATATTTTTAGCATGTCTTTATAGTTGATTATGAGTGACTTTTAAACTAAGAACAAAACATTATTGGGAAGGGTGAACCACATAACGATCATCAGAGTAGAACATATAGTATTAGACTGTACCCTTGCAACCTTCCACGACAGCCTTATCCACAAATGTGTTAAAGAAAGAACGCAGTCTCTTTCTTGTTCCTATGTATGGTACATTCTTCCGCTTCCTTATATAAGAAGGAGCTTTATTCATTCAAATGACTGTCTATGAACACACAAACTTTATGTAAATATAGTGTACCTTCTATTTATAAAATCACCCATATTAAAATATGAAAAATCTTATTACAACAATATTATTTTCCACCAATTATATCCCTATCTACTGAGAGGTGGCCCATATTCTTCAAAAGAGGTTGCCAGTTATTAATATAAAAGTGGATACTGACCAACAGTAAACAGGAAGGGCAATACTCACAGTCAGACAATGTGATCATCCCTACATTTTTTAATGTCATGTTTATCATGTTAATGGAAGCTTTTAAAACAGAGGTTGGCAGGCCGGGCTCTGAGTTATTGCAAAATGTTGTGAATTCTTCTTTTAAAAAGCTGGAAAGTGGTTTTAATTAGCTATTGCTATGAGAGCACGTGATTGCTCGTTTTTAGCACTTTCCAGTTCCTTTCCTGAAATATCAGAAACATCATTCTGGCCGTTCTTCTTGCATTTTGGAAGCATTAGCCACGCATAGCCATTCACCTTGCCAAGGAAGTTGAAATGCTGTATTTTTAGGAAATATTATGCTACTTCCTGGCATAGTAGTGACAAAATATGCAGTAAAGAGAAAAATATGTCTTATTTTGTTCCTTCTTAAGAACAGATTTGTTTAATAGACGTTATTAAGGTTTACAGGCTTCTTTCATTCAACGTTCTAATTTAAGGTTAGCAAAGAATGTATTGTGTTAAGAGTGTTGATACTCATTAATCATGAAATCACAGGTTATAAAGTAACTTTGAAATGCCAGAAACCAATGAGGGTATACATCTGTTTCTGCTTAAAAATATGAATAAATTTGCTTGATTTTATTCAGCAATACATTTTGGCTTTCTATTAAAAATTCTTCCTGTTATCACAGCTAATTCCCTACTATTGCAATATGGAACTATTGGCCAACTTCAGACAATATTTACCAAATTAAATACTTTTATGCTGTCCATCTCAGTGGTAGAATAAGAAATTCTGCTATCTGCTGTTTACCTTGGAAATGGAAGAGACATCAGCTTTGACCTTGGTCCCTAAGCTATAATTCAATTCTATTCTTTTGTTTTTCCATTTTTCTAATGCACCATTTCCATATTTTTCTTTTTTACTTGTATTCATGGAAATTGAAAATAATCAAACCCAAAATTACCTCTGATTCACTTTGGTAGTATGAATGTATGTGGTGCCTCAATGTTAAAGGAGAAAAATACATAAAAGAACTCAAGTGTATGAAAAGCATATTAGAAAAATGAACTAAGTGACTTTTTTTTCCAATAATTTCATCTCATTAAAACATACTCAGAATGGGTGAACAGCATTGAAATAGGTCAGGAAGTGGTCTCAGGAAAGGTCTACAAAGGGGAGGCTGCTGGGAAGGCAGGATTACGAGGGGGAGACTGTCTGGGAGCCCTACCTGATGTCTGTGCATGTTATGCAAGTGATGTTCCGGCTGTTGGTTGTTATTAGGTTCAAAGCCACTGACGTGTCCTGGTCTGAAGTTGGGTGTGCTCCGCACTTAAAGAAAAATTCCTGCAAGAATGAGAAACATGATCAGAAACATGGACTCCAGCAGTTTATTTTTCCTTATCTAGCTATATTGACAGTAAGTGAACTCTGTACAAGAAAACATGTATCATTAGTTGTGAGTTACAAATAAATCAGCCTCATATCTTTATAGGGAAAGAAAGCACTTGTCTGATGCCAAGGTAGTCGACAACCTTCTCTTATAAACAAGGCACTAAATGATCTTTTTTCACTTCTGTGAGTTGGGAGCATGGGAAACCATGTCAGCCATGCCCCTTGAGAATAAGTGAGTCTAGAAGAAAAAGAGGAGGTGGATGCAAGAGAAACCTAAAGCAACATCTCAAACATGAGGAAAAGGTGACAGCGGAGCCTTAAATGATTTGTCCACAGTCATACAATAAGTGAAGCCAAAAAGTACCCCATGAGTTCTAAGGGGAATCCAAGGCTTTCTGTACAGTTAGTACCCTGTAGGACACAGGATTTCAAGAGCGATGTGTCAGCATAAACAGAAGAATGCATCAACTTTGGGCAGGGACAACTTCATACAACACTTGGCTTCTTCTAGCTTAATTTAGACGCAGTCTTTTATGCCTTATTTGGCATCCCAGAATTCCCTGGGAGGCCTGTCTGCCCAGCCTCTATGCCAGACAAATGGAAATATTCCCATAAGCACCTCTCCATGTTTAGTTAATTTCCCAAACATATCCTGTAACATTTATCTTTATTTTAACTTCTCACGTTGGTCACTTGTTTTTGAATGATCATTTTTGTCTGGTTTATCAAAAAAAGGCTGCTTTTACTTTTTCTCATTTCTTTTTTTTCTAATTTCTATGTGTTTTTTTGGGAACAAATCTTTCATTTACACAGGAGGTTGTTTGGCCCATCACTGCTGGATTTCTCAAGTAATCTATGTTTTCCACAACACTAACATTGAGAAAGCCAAATTTCCTGGTACTTCCAAACATCTATGCAACTATGTTACTGAGCAACAGAAGCACTCTGCACACTACATTATCTCTTAACATATTTTGAGGATAACTACCTGGAACCTGCAGAATATTTTCCCTTTACTCTGTAGATGTGTTGTCGGCAAACTTTTGTGGAAAGCTTCAGATGAGAATACTACATGCTTTTGGTTTTTTTGTACTATATGGTCTTTGTCGCTCTTATCAATTGGACACCAGAGACTCAAAACAGTCTCAAAGGGCATGCGAATTAGCAAGTGTGGCTGCATTCTAACAAAATTTTATTTTTAAAATGTGCAGCAAGTTGAATTTTGGCTGTTAAAGATAGGCTAAGCTATCCTAAAAAAAATAAATAAATGTAAAATGCTTTATTTTATAGTTGTATTCTAACAGTCTCTGGGATAAGATAAACATTAGCAATATTTCCTTAAATGAAAATTTATGCTTGTTTAATAAATATTATTGTTGACAACATCACTGAATTTGCTGTCTCCCACAAAGCCGCATTCTCCTCAGATATGCTGGTCACAACAGCTGTGTGTCTCTAACTCTGGAGTACATCAGAATCACTTGTGGTACAGTGTGGGTCAGTTTAGGGTTTCTAAAAACTAAAGATTGCTTGACCACTCTCTGGTTTTTTCACTTCTGGGTAAGGACAAGGATGGTCATTTCTTATGAGCTGCAAGGTGATGCCCTATGCCCTTGAGAACCACACAATCATATGAATGGAGGTGGAAAGTAGGCGCTACTTACCCTCGTAGAAGATTATAGTTACACAGAACTTGCTGACTGCCTCTTAAAAATCATGCCATATCACAGGTATATATAGTACTACAAAAATCATGAGGGTGCTATTTTACAGTGATACATCTTAAAGCCAGGTGTTTGCAGGGCAGGCTGTTCTTCATTACTTGACTCTAAATGAATTCCAGATGGTATATAACTATTGCTTCACTGGAACCTATCCTACACCAGGAAGTAGTATACTAGATGACCCCTTACGTACAGTCTTTAGCCTACGTGATATTCTAATCTTTCCACAACAAATGGAGAACGGTTTGTTTAACAAACATGCTGGAGCCCAGCAGAGTCATGGATTCCTGCCTATAAGCAAACCCAGGCTCTTCTGTGAAACAGCATGAAAATCACACTGCCTGACTAGTTTTGTTTCATTTTTACTATCCCTTTAGTCAATCTTTTGAAATGATATAGGTCTTTCAAAAGCTAATTTAAGGACAGGGAGAAAAAGATTTAATATAATTCCTGACTATCAAAACAAGTGTGGAGGACAAGACCAAATCATAGGCTATCCATCAATCTAAGCACCAAAAATTGCTTTTTGCAGACATGAAAAAAAAAAAAAATACTCATTCATAACACAAGTCTTTCAAAAGAGCTGAGTTAGCTGGACCATTGGGAAGGTACAGGTACATAAATAGTATTGTATTTTTTCTTAGCTTTCAGGGAACTATAAGAAGACATTTAGCCAACAGATCACAAATTAACTCTAGATAAAATTTAACCAGATAAAAGTCAAGACCCTTTTCTTCAGAGAGGAAAGCTTATAGCTAATGGTAACAAGAAGCTATAGGGCCAGCCAGATAGCTCAGAAGATTAAAGCCTCTGCTTAGGCAAACACAGGGACGGGGATTCAAGCCCTGGGGGGCCATGCTGGCCAAGCCCCCAGGCCACACTGAGATGTGTCAGACTGGGCATGATGGTGCATTTCTGTAATCCCAGAGTTTAGGAGGCTGAAAATGGGAGAATCACTACAAGTGTGATCTATGTAGTGAGATCCTGTACTAAATACATAAAATAATCATAATCATAATGAGATCCTGTCTCAAAACAAAACAAAAAAAAAGCTACAGACATTTGGCAAATTCTAGTAACTTATATGGTATGATAAAACTAAAACACAACATACTAGCTGTGCATATTAATTACATGTGCCCTATCAGTGAATTTCAGTGCTTTATTTTTTATTTATTAAGAAAGGAGATTTCTCTATGGTACTAGAGTAACTTGCAGGAACACGGAAGAATCCAATGTGTCACCCAGCTTGCTAGTTAGTTCGATGTATTATGGATGCTGGCAAAGGATGAGGGACTCAGACTGGAGACAAAGGACTGCATAATTTAGCTCAGGCAAAGAGACACACTAGTGTCATGACACACCAGTTTCCCAAAACATCCAGGGAGGGAGGGATGACTAGAAAATAAGCAAGGGTGCCTTTTGTTCTGGACCAAGATTATTTTTCTCCCCAAAGGTTATTAGCTTTTCCTTAAAAAGCTGGATCCAGAACAAAAGGAAGTTGGTATCTCTCTCATGAGACAAGTAGAAACACAAGAGGCTCATGGAGAATTGTTTTTCTATAGTAAAATTATCTTTTATAAGGGGCTAATTATTAGAGCAGTGTGGTCATTTCCTTTCCTGTGCAATCAGTGGGCTAAGATTTTCCAAGCTTCTTCCGATTTTGCCAATCTACATTCAAAGCTAAACCCAGTCAAGGCTAGCAATGTAGTTCAGTGGTAAAGCACTGGCCTAGTATGTTTGAGAGCCTGCCAACCCCCCCACCTCACAAAACAACAAAAAGGAAAAACAAAACAAAAAAAATACAGAAGTTGGAAGAGATTAAAGGATTTATTCAATCTCAGGCATCTCAGAGAGCTTGCTAAGAGAAGGGTGTCATCTCATAGAAAGTTGTAGGATTTTTTGAACTAACTGAATTCAATTTTTCATTTTCTTCTCTTGATCATTCAGGTTAAAAACATCAAGAAAGCCAAAGCCAGGAAAATATTCAGCTAGTATCTAAAGAGGTGGGTTGGCAAGCTAACATTGGCCCAGGAAAGTCTCAAGCCAAGCTAAGGGCCTGCTGCAAGGCCTCAGGGCCTGAGCTCTCAAGGTGGCATGGTGTCTGCTTCCAGGAAGTGTCAAAGGTTGGACAGCAACAATGCTGCTGGTTCACTAGAGAAGCAGTGTCATGTGAGCCTAGTAGGAGACTGTTGTAGTACATTCTTAAGGCCTATACAGAATGCTGGGCTTTGGGGAAATAAAGAGTCTCAAAGGTACCCAGACCACTCTTACAAACACTGGCTCACAGGTAAATCAGCTATAAAAAAAAAACAAAAATGAAAAAGATCTTGTTAATTTAAATAAATTCTTCTATGTAAGTAGGATTTTAGTTTCCACTGGTTGATTTATTCCATTTGAATCCAACTACTCACTTCTAGAAAGATTCCATTAGTCACAAAGATAACAGTCTATGACAGTAACTAGTTTTGCTCTCAAACGATAGCCTAAATTATTGTTAAAAACCTGAAAAAACAAGGCATTAAAAATCTATTTGACTTTGTATTGTAACACTGTTAATTGCTATGTGTTTTCCACTTTGGCAATATTAAATAAAAAATAAATGGGCCAGCCAAATAGTTCAGCAGATGAAAACACCTACAAGCTGGTGCAGGGGCCAAGGTTCAATCCCCTAGCCTGCCATGTGGGCCCTGCCACTGGGGCATACTGAGATGGCATTTGAGACTGGGCGTTGTGGTGCCCGCCTATAATCCCAGCTCCTGGGATGCTGTAAACAGGTGAATCACTACAAGTCTGATGTAGTAGTGAGACTCTGAACACGCTGTAGACCCTTCTCTAAATTACAAAAAAAAAAAAGTAAAAAATCCAACATGATAGGTTCTGGCCCTAGTATAAATTGCTAAATCAGCATGGTGGTCATCTAATATGAATGAAGCCCTTAAAACAAAAGCCCCTTTTCCCAAGACCACCTTCTCTCCAACTCAGTCCATGGTACAATTTCCTTTTACCCTTCACATCACCTAGGGAAGACCCCCAGTCAGCTCTCTCGGGTATAGCTAAACACCCCTTTCATACTCCACCCTGCCAAAAAGCCATAAAAACCTTAGTTTCCCTTTGTTCCAATCGCAAGAATTCCTCATCTTCCCCACATTCTCTCCATGTCCTCAAAGATAATAAATCCCCTTTCCCTTTTTGCTTCTGCCTGTTTCTCTGCTGTACCAGGCACCT